TAGAAATAATATAAATATTTCGCGATGGAACAATTTTGTAAGAGTTATATATATATATACTTCGCCCCTCGAAGTAATATCGTTTTAAAGTGATCGAATGGTATTTTTTTCTCTTGTCCCGCTTGAAGTTTCTGAATTGCATTTCGATTAACGTTAACGTCGAACTGTTAACGTCCACGTAATTCTGATCGATAAACGCGGAGTGCTGCACTCTGTTTACAGGGAGAATATTTCTACGTCGTATTTTTTTTTTTTTGTTTTCAGGATGGTTTTCTCTTTTTCTCGAATGTGTACACGTATGTATGTTTCCAGTGTTTGCACCGCTGTTCCATTGATTATTACTTAGGAGAACCGCGAAATCAGAGGCTACATTGAACAAATTGATCGATCGAGAGAAGTTCGGAATGAGAAATATTGTTGGTGTTTTAGCAGCGAGAGTGTAGCGTACAGTTTTTTTTAATCCTTTCGTTTCTTGTCGTTTAACAAACAAAAAAAAAAAACAAAAGCAAAAAAGAAGTTTCTACAAAAAAGAAGTACGAAAGCGTTATTAAAGATAGTAAATAATTTATATATTGTATATACACACGTTAACTGGAAAGTTGAAAGAGCATCGTGTTGTGATTATACGGCGTTGAATCACAAGATTTATTTCGATCTTCGACAATTAGCATAGGTACCTATAAGACTGAAAAAAAAAAAAAAAGAAAAATGAACACCGACGAAACAAATTTTCTTCTCGCGATTTGCTACCATGCGCCCCCCTCCCCGCCCATTCTTTTCACTTTCTCTTTTCTCTCCTTTACGCGCGTGTACACACATTTACACATACGTATCCATATACATAGTGTTACATACTGCATACACGAAGAAGCAAGTGAACGAGTACACGAATTCACGTGCATTAAAACGTGTATTGTTAGCGATACGAGTTCCTTGAAAACGTATAGGGATATTCGTGGTGAGATAATAGCGGAAATTTCATTAGCATTCTCTGTAATCCCTTCGACGAATGGTATGCAACCTGTTGAAAGAAAGAAAGAACGACAAAGAGAAGAAACGAAAGAAAGAGAGAAAGTCTCCCTTTTTTCTGCGTGTGTGTCTGTGTGTAAAACGTTGTTTCCGCAGAGAGAGAAGTCGGAAATTTCAGGACGAACCATTTTTTTATTTTCGCTCGGTGCGAAATAAAGAGAAACGAAAGAAACGAAAGAAGTATAAGGAAAGTAAAATGCGTAGAATGCCAAAGCAAGTTAAGACGCCGCACACTACGATTTATAATGACAAATATTGTTTTTAATATAATTTAGCGTATTTATTTGTTTTCGTTTTTGTGTTAATTATCTATTTTACGTATAGGGTGAATTTTCTATCAATTCTTCATTATTTTTTTTTGCTCGTGATCGTTGTAGAGAGAGAAAGAGAGAGAGAGAGAGAGAGAGAGAGAGAGAGAGAGAGAGAGTGTGTGAGAGAGCGTTTTTTCTCGAACAGCTTCCGAAAGTAACGCGATCCTGTGTGGTGGCTAGTAAGAGAATTCAGTGTCGAGGATTTTGACGACCGATAAAAGACTTACCCTGTATATACGTGGGGTGTTTGTTAAGATACACGGTAACGTTTAGAAAATGAGAAATCTCTGGTCTAATTTCGCACCTTTTGCAATAAGAGTTAATACGATTTAACATTTCTCGAGTTTGAGATTTTAGTGGCAACGGATTCGAAAAGTGACAAACAATACATCCGGTGGTTTTTTAAGAAATGCTTTTTTTTTAATTCATAAGGAGATTTTTCACCGCTACGAAGATCTCAAACTTGTATCGAAACGGAAGATAAACGCATAGGACACTTTTTGTAGAAATTCGAAATAAAAATTTGACTTATAACAAACATCCTTCCTTTATTTCGTATTATTTTTACAAATACTCTTTCTTTGTTTATATACAGGATAATATCTCAGAAGAAACTGAAGGTGTCGAAAAAATGGTATAAATAGTTTTTTCGCGGGTAAAGTAGTGAGAGAGAGAGAGTTCAATGTCAAAGTTAATTTTTTTAAACGGAACGCCATATTCTTTTTTTTATATGATAGCGTTTATTGAGAAGAATTCAACGATGTGCCACACGAAGTCATTTCGTTTTATGAAAAATCATAAAATAGTGAAGAAAAAACATAAACTTGACCTTGAAATTTCTCCCGTTATTTCACTCGCAAAAAAATTATACCACGTTACGTCTTCCATCATACGAAACAATTTTTGTAAGAACATTTTTTCGACAGCTTCAATTCTTTTTAAAATATTCCACCGTGTCCAGTTAAAAAAAGCACCCTGTATACAAATATAATATACTTCTAAGATATTCTTATTCCTTTTCAAATTACCCTTGTGCATTCACTATTCGTATTGTAAAATTTAAGAATATTCAGATTTCTTCTTGAAACATAAATGTTTATTTTATGTTACTCTTATCGCAGCCAAAAATCTATATTCATTGCGTAAATATTTATTTTTTAATAAAATTATTCAAAGGTTAAAGATTTTCTTTTGAAAGAATTAATGTCTGGCGGAGGATTCTCATTTTTCGTATATTTCCGATTTTATGAAACATCCTGTATGTGTTATAAACGTAATATATATATATATAATACGCTTGTCATATGGTTCTATCGCGCCCTCTCTTCCGCATAACGATGTACCAGTCACACGAGATAATTATCACATGCGGATTTTGTATTGTTCAAACAATAGCACACGTTGATTGTGTCGGTAGATCATTGAGAATATGCGAACAACAGCGTACTGCTTTTTTTTTTTTTCTATGCGAAGTGAATATATCCGTTAGCAGGTTCGTTCTTTTATACACGAAGGTTTGCGTTCAAATATAGCAAGTCAAACATGTTATATAACAGGCGATTTGAATTATTGAATTTTTCTCTTAGGATATAATTTTTTTTTTTTATAGAAATTTGCCATAACAAAACTGCTCTCTATGTACTGTAAATAATAATAAGTATCTATTATTTCGAATGTCGTCGTTAAATTGCGCAGAAGTATTTATTTGAAATTAATATAATATAAACTTTTGCATTAAAGCAGGGATATAACCTTTCGTTTCGATTCTTCTTTACCTTCTGATGAGACATTCTCCTCTTTTGTTAACGGAAAGAAAGTAAGAGAGGTTTTAGTGCATCTGTAAGTTCGTAAATAAAAGTCACGAACCGTTTAAATTTGGAGCACTTGTGACATTGAGAAACTCAAAAACATTTCACAATCGAGCGAACCTAGCGAGTTGCAAAATTAAAAATCCTGCGAAGGAACGATTCGTATTAATAATAAAACGTATCGGATGATAAACGTTGAAACGTTTTTGGAATATTGAATTACATACGTATGTATATTAAACACTGTACCAATGTGTGATGTTTACTCTATTACACTTTATGGTGACACTTCGTTTCATTTTCATTCTTGAAAACCATACACTACGCTTGTGTCCAGTAATTGTTACCTTGCAGTAGGTGGCTTGCGAATATTTGTTGTTTATTTCCTCTCCTTTCTGGAAACTCACGAACAATGAATGATTTGTAATTCAACAAAATAAATCTTTATAAAATCTTGCTCTTTCGATTGAATATACCGGACGTATCGAATGAATGGCGGATTATCTGCTCATACGAGCTAATTAATATTTTCCAAATAATTCATATTATCGAAATTAGACAGTTAAATTCAACAAACGATATTTCTTCCGTTGAAAA